CGGGGCGGCCTCCGGGTGGGCCTGGCCGGTCGCGCCGTGGGCACCGGTGCAGGGGCCGTGGGGCGGCTGCGGCGGGGCGCCTTGCTGGGCTCGCGCGCTGTGGGCCGCGGGGTGCTCTCTGGGGTCCAGATGAACTCTGCAGAGGAAGAGCTCGCGGTCAGAGGGACCCTGGCTGCCCCACCGGCTCATCTGCCCACCCCTGCGGCCCCGGGAAAGACGTCCTCCATCTGCCCCCACTCGGACCCTGAACACAAGGGGCCTCTCAGAGCAGCATGGGGCCTTCTCTGGTCAATCCAGACCCATGGGGTGCCCACCTGGAGCTGGGTGCCAGGCACTTCTTCAGTTATTCAGCAAACAGTCCTGGCAGCTACTGGGATGCTGGATCACCCCAACCCCTAACCCTGGCTCCTGGGGTCCCCAGGCTGTGGGGGAGACAGCCAAGGGTCCTCTATTCACTCTGGCTTGCGGAGTGAGAGGCCACAGTGGGCATGAACTAAGGCTCCGAGGTGGTCCTGGCCAGCAGGTGGGCAGCACTCGGGACAGGGTGGCTGAGGCGCTGGCCCTGACACCTGTCACAGTGGGCAGGCGGATGGCTGCCCTCAGGCACTGGTCAGAGCTGATGGGAGACAGGGCAGGGCACCCTGTGTGTCCCCCAACACAGGCCCTGGCCACAGCAGGTGCCGGTGGGCTGAGCCCTGTGATTCCCCTGTGCCCGCAGGCCATGGGGACACTTCCGGCCCACGTCACACCCAGAGACAGACCTCTGTGCATGAGGCCATGTGTTCTGTCCAGCCCCACAAATGCAGGTGCTGTGCCAGGCCCTGGGCACTGCCCTTTGTGATGGTTGCAGAGGAGGGCTAACCCCCGGGCTGGTCACTTCCCAAGGGGGCATCCTGGGGCCTTCTGAGTCCCCAGCCCACTCCACCAGTCTCACTTTGAAAACCCCTGGCATGGGCCTGAGAAATGACTCTCAGAACACGGCCCAGTGCAGGGCCGGGTGCCATCACAGTGCCACGGGCAGGGTGCCCCCAACCCACACGAGGGCCTTGCCTGTCCCCCTGCAGATCCTGCTGCTCCTCTACCTGCACTCCCTCCCGCCCCGCCCCAGCCCCCACCCTGTCCCACGGCCCCCGTTCCTTTTCTCTCTGGGCTCCAGGAGCCCCACCACCACCCTGGCTGGGTCCCCACATGGGCTGGAACATTAAACCACTTCTCGGACCAGGACGAGGCTGCTCTGACTTCTCCCTGTGGGCAGCCTCCAGCATAGAGTGGGTGACAAACACAAGTGCCAGACACTGCTGAATGAGTGAATGGAGAACCTGCCAAGCCCCAGAGAACTGCAGCCAGAAGTGCTCTCTGAAATGCCTCGCTCCCCTCTCCCGCTGCCCTGTCTGGCTTCCCTTCCTCAGGCCTGGGGCAGGAGCTGGGCCCTTCTGCCCAGGTGCCCCCCATGGTGACCTGCGGGCACACTTGGCCTGTGAAAATAGTTCGTGAGGCCCACACAGTAATTAAAATTGTAAACTAGTTGTCAATATTTTCAAGCTGGAAGATTCTATGTCACAACCTGAGAAGGCAAGGACTATAGCCATCTTGCAAAGTCGTGTCCCCACTGTGTGCAAAGCATGTGGCCATGGTGACAGGAGGTGACAGATGTGGTGATGGGTGGGTGGATGGTGGGTGAGTGGATGAATGGGTGGATGGGCAGGTGGGTGGGTGGGTTGGTGGATGGATGGATGGAAGGTTGGATGGGTGGGTGGATAGATAGGGGGTGGATGAGTAGATGGGTGGATGGGTGGATGAGGGGTGGATGATTGGATGGGTAAGTTGGTGGATGGAAGGGAGGGTGGGTGATGGATGCATGGTGCTATGGTTTAGATCTAGAATGTTCCCCAGAAGTCTCATGTATTCCGAAGTGCAGCTTTTGGAAGGTGATTAGATCATGGCACGCTATACTCCTCAGTGGATTCATCCACTGATGAGTTCATAGCTAAATGTGCTGTTGGGGTCAGGGTCTGGTGGGGTTGGGTGTGTCACTTGGGGTGTGCCTTCAAGCTCTGACTGCAAATGGGGTGAGCTGCTTTCCTCCACCCTCCCCTTCCACCATGATCTCTCTATCTTGAAGCCAGCCAACCATGGACTGAACCCTCTGAACCATGAGCCAAATTAAGCCACTCCTCTTTTAAACTGTGGGTGTTGGGTACTTTGTCCCAGAAACAGGAATGCTAATACACAGGGACAGACGGGTGGGTGGAGGGACTTACTGGCCCCGCCCCAGTGAGTTCAGTCTCCCTTGCTCAACACAGACATCCTCTCTGTCTCTCCCAAGAACTCTGAGTGCTCCTTTCCCAGCCTGGCTTTTCCTCCCCTTGCTGTGCCCTGCTGGAGGGCAGCAGCCTCTGGCAGCACTGCCCACAGCCTAGGACCTGGTTTGAGTCATGACCAGTCTAACTCACATTAGATGTACTTCCATCCCCCTTAACTGTCAACTGTGTGGCGGGTATGGTTCTGGCCCAGGGGCCAAGGAAGGGCCCAGGCCTGGCTGGAGGAGGAACAGGGGGCAGCTGCAGAGCCACCTGCCCCACAATGAACCCCTCAATGGGCACTTACTTTCTTTGGGCACAAAGGGGATGAGGCGGCTCCTCACTTTCACCTGGGAAGGCTGAATCTGACACTTGCCAGGTGGCGCCCGTCTGCCAATGAATGATACGTAAGAGGTTGTCAGTCAGTCTATGTCCCCATGACACCCGCCCTCCCCCTACAGCAGGTCAGGGAGGGAAGGGCCGGGAGGCATGGATCAGAAGGAGAGTAATAAGTGGCCCTGTGGGATCCCTGCCCCTGTGTGCCCACAGGACCCTAAGACAGAGCCCAGCTGCAGGACACCGGGTCCCACACCAGCCCTGGTGCCCGCCCAGCCTCTGCTGGTCGGGAGCCACAGCCCCTGGCTCCTAGGCACTTCTGACTCAGCCACTCCCAGAGCCCTAGGGATTCCTGCCCCTGTCCTTGCCCTCCAGGCCCTGGCTCTGAGGAGGCCTCGCTCTTCCTGGGTCTCCGTGATGGCTGGGCCCGGCAGAAGCTGGGAAAGGGGAAAGCTGGCAAGAGCATAAAGCGGGTGGCCAGGAACCCCAGGCCAGGGCAGGGCTGGGGGCTGGGGCTGGAGGGAACTGCCAGAGAAAAGATGTAAGGAGGCTGGCAGGGTGTGAACTGGCCTCCTTCAACTTCCTTTGGGGGCCCAAGGAAGGAACGGGATTCCATTTTAATTAGTTTTTGGCTGTTGATCTGTGGCTCTTTGAATGGGGCCGACCTGTTCCCAGATTGGCCCACATGGGCCCGCACTGCAATAAGACCGCATCAGCTCAGGGTGGGGAGCAGCCACATGACTCACAGTGGCCTCCAGACGGGAGGAACACGGGCTTTTTTCCCAAAGCCAAAGAAACCCAACTAGGCACACTAGACTCGGAGCTGGAGGAATGGCCCCAAGCCTAGAACTGGGCAAGAGAACCTCCAAGTCTCCCCAGGGCCCTCTCTCTCCAGGGGACAATGAGCTAAGGGAGAGGGTGTCACAGAAACCAGCCAACTACTAGATGACGCATCTGCGGCAACATCTGGCCAGGATCAGGCACTACATATATGTGCTATTTCCTTAGAGAAGCATGCTTTGGAAAAGAAAAAATGGAAATAACCTCAAATTCCAAGGAATGGCTAAGGCAATTATGGCTCAGTGACTCAGCAGAAAGTGGCCAGGCTTTCAACATCGTCCTTTTGAGGGCGATGCTGTGACATGGAAAAGTTTATGCAAAGCAGGGAGGGAAAAGGAGACCGCAAAGTCTGCGTGTGGTCAAGCGGCGGGACATAGGGCCTGGCGCTGCAGGGAGAGGCGACGGACTTCAGAGAGACAAGGGGGAGGATGGAGGAGAGGTGCTCAGGTTTTTCTGGATAAACAATTAGGTCACTGTTTAATCTATGTGTACTTTTCACAACTTTAAAAAACACCACTCTGTAAACAAGGAAAATGTGAGACACTGTGGCAGAGAGAGGA